CTGGCATTCCTCCCTGTTTGTCAAGGGGCATGCCATTTGTTCCAAATTCCAAATATTCCCTTTGGAAAAGCAGCAAGATTGATTGACTACAACTTGCTTTTAAAAGCTAAACCAAATCGGAGGAGGATTCTTTGTCCCAATGATTGAGTGAGTGAAATAAAGGAATGAAATGAATAAATGAACGACCGAACTCCAACACTGATAGAATCTCTAAATCTAATTTTAAGGCTTGAGTTCATTCATTCATTCATTCATTCATTCATTCATTCAGATAGAATTTCAGAAGAGTTTTTCTCCTTCTCAGTGGCAACCCATCTGTTGTGGACTCTTCCCCCAAAGGAAAATCCAGCCAGCCTTTTTTGCTCCCTTTAGTTATCATGTGAATATAGTACGTTTCCCCCACCCCCCATTGTATTTACTAATACATCCTAAATTAGGATTGTATTTCATAGTGAGATACGGCTTGCTTATTACAGTTAAACACAACTGGCTAGGTTTACACAACATGCTAAACTGTAAGTCATGACTTACAGACTTCGGGGCAAAAACGAGAGGAAAAGAACTGACTGTATTATGGATGAATGCAATGTATGAACCTGTCCTTGCTCTCTCTCTGCCAATGCTTAAGTTTCCTTTTCAAAGTTTTTGATGCCTGTGTATTTAAAATGGAAGCCAAGCAGGACGGAGAGACCACTCGAAAGCCCCCGGGAATGGAGACAAGATTGGGAAGTTAAAAGGCACCATGGAAGAAGGCAGTAGCAAACCATTTCTGTTCTGTTGCCACCACTATTTCAGAACCAAGGTCTGCAAAGGCCTACAAAATGTCACCTGCGAAGACAGCTTTTCCAAGTTTTTAGCTTAAGATTCTAGGCCTTAGGAGGGGTGCAAAAATAAATCAAAAGAGGAGAGTGAGGGACAGGAATAAGCTATCAGACAGTAAATGCCCCTTCGCCAAGCCTTCGCAGCAGCGATACTCTGCCTGTGTCCAACTGTTCTTTTTGTGTGTCCCTTTGAATGGACATCTCAGCAAAATGCTCTCAGATAATCAGGTAACAACTGACATTTATTTCTGCAGGGCTGTTACCAATCTGTATCTTGGGCTTTTATTGCTGACATCAATTTACAAGTATTATCTTTATGAAGACTGTTCATCTCCTGCTGGAATGATACAACATAATTAATAAAAGTACTCAGGGGCTGTATAAAAACAAAAATGTTGTTTTCGACAGCCATGGGAGGGAGTAGGATGGTGAAATTTCAGAAATTCAGAAATTATTGGTAGGCAGTATGGTTGGCCAAGCCTTACAAATACTAAGAACCTAGGTTTCTGTCAGCTAAGCAGCGAGATGGGAACCTCACGGCAGATATATTTCAGGTTCCAAACAGAGGAAGCTGCCTTATAGAAGATAAGACTACAGCTGTGTTTGCATGATACATTTGCCCAGGGTGAACCTAACCATTGTTTATGTAATTAACCCAATTTTCTGGGTTCCTACCACACACTGAGCCATTACCTAATCATCTGGCTGGATTACCCAATCATCAGGCAAAAATACAGCTGGCTAACTTGTCTGGCTCTGCTTAGCTCAATATTGCTATTTTTAGTTTATTCTGGCAGATCTCTCCAATATCTCAGGTACCAAAAGCAGCCACCCCCTCTGAGCAGTTCTGCCAGAAATTAAACCCTATTGATTCAACCAGGCCCCTGCTCTCCACAACCGCATCAGCTAAGCTTTCCAACAGGCTGGCTAACTTTCGTGATGTTTGTTCTTACTTCAGATCATTGCTCCGCCGGAGCGGAAATACTCTGTGTGGATCGGTGGATCCATCTTGGCTTCCCTTTCTACCTTCCAGCAGATGTGGATCAGCAAGCAAGAATATGACGAAGCAGGACCGTCTATTGTCCACAGGAAGTGTTTCTAAGAGTACCTGTGGTATCTCTTGTTGTTGCTACTCCTTTCCTACTCCAACTGCTTCTCCCTGACCAGAGTTTAAGACTTATTCCTCTCCTGCCCCTCCAAACATCCAGCTTCAAGAAATTTACTCAAGGATGTAAAGAAGGCGCTTTGGTTATTAGGAACTGTATCTCTATCACAAGGGCATAACGTCCATCTGCTGCCCCAAGTTCAAGTGCATTTCTGTAAAGCAACCTTATATACACTTTTCACATTTTTCAAAGGAGCATGCTCCCCGATCTCAAACCCTTACCTGAGCCATAATAAAATTAGGTATTACAGCAAAATGCCAGAGGAGAACATTCTGGTTTTTTGGGGTCTACAGAATCTTCTGAATTTCTAGGACATCTCACATCAAGAGCAGAATAATCAAAGCACACACAGCCACATTCTATATGAGTGCAGAAAAGTGACAGAATTCATCATCCCAACGATCTCCACTTTTAAAAAAAGAAAGGTTAACATGGGTGACAAGAGAAACTTGAGGGTATTGGATAATATTATCTCTTTGAGGAGGAGAGGGACAAACAGCCTTTCTGCTAACTAACCATGGGGGTGACTGAAACAGAGAAAACACCGCGCGTTGGGCTCTACGCATTCTTGACTATGATCCTTACTTGTCTTCTATGCACCCAGGGCCCTGTAGCAGAAAAGGTTTCTACCCCCAGCCTAACCTATTTAAAACATCTTGATCTGACTTTTCAACCTAAAAAACAAGACAGGCCTGCATGGAGGCTTTCAGCCCAAAATCAACACTAAAGAATGGGGGGGGCAGGGGGAGGAGGAATCAAACTCAGACACCAATTTGCCAAGTTAAACAGTAGTTCTCGTAATGAGTATTGTGAATGGAAAGCCCCGTGGTTTTGAAGTTGAAGGAGATGCCCCATGGAACTGGTTCTGTTCCACATCTAATGGAACGGCTGCCATCAAGTGAGTCATCTCAGGAGGAGGTGGAAAAGGGAGATATGAATTCCAGACAAAAACTGCATTTTCCTATCATACTGTATTAACCACTGTAACCCTCAATCGGCCAGAAATCAACAAGAAAAGGGGCTCCCTATTAATGAGGCAGAAAACTATTTAAAAAATACAAAAGCATGATCACTGATTACAGGAGGCACTCTCTTGAAATATTCAGAAAAAAAGGCTTAAAGTCACAACAGGAAGCTTATTTTCAACATACCAAGAGAATTTTTTGCTTTCCCCTCAGTTGCAAACTCAGATACCCATTTTTAACAGGCCTACCCATCTTGGGAGGATGAGAATTGGCATCCGACAGAACAGGAAGGCACCTGGGAATGACAACACTTGAACCAAAGAACAGAATTTGTGGTTCTTCATTTGGAACTGTGTCTTTTTAAAGCGGTGGGTACACAATACCCAAACGGGGAGAGGAAAACTTCTCCAATTGTGGAACACAAAAAGGCATTCTATAATGTTTAGAAAAAACAGAGTCCTGCTTAATTCCAGCACTCTAAAGAGAGGTTCAAAATATACTACAAAGGAAGCTATACTTGAGAACACATATACACTTACAACCCACTGGAGACTGAACAGAATGTTTATTTTTAAAACAGACAAATAAAATAAACCTTTTCATTAAAAAAAATCAGGTTGTTCCCTTTGATTCCAGTGAAAGTTGTTTGCTAAAAAGAGCAGTTTTCTTCAAATTTACTCTATGAAATAAAACAACCCCAAAATGCAAAAACAAAGCGAATAAATGAGGAAAGAAACACCCACTAGATATACAAAGAAATACAACAGTATTATTTCAGCTTAAAAACATAAAGCATTCTGCATGCCACATTCAACATGTTCAACCACCTTTCCTAGATTTTTTGTTTGTTCATTTTGGGTGGTGGGGGGAGAGATCCATCTACAGAAAAATCTAAAAAGAAAATCAAGTTGTTGATAAATCAGTGTATCATTATGGGGCAATGTATCCTGGCAGTTTTTAGCATAGCCACAGCTCCAAAGCCATCTCTAATATTCCTTTTGTAAAAAAGGAAACAATTTAATTTAGAAGTATGACTTTAGAAATCCACTGACACATTAAAAACATAAGTCCATCCCGTGATGTTTAAGCAGGGGGTATCAGTTTCGATCTCCTCTTACAGGCTGTTAAGTAAGATCCAGATGATGGTGTTTGGTGGTGTTTGGATAAGGAGGCCATCCATACGGACATGCTAAGATGACCCCAATGACTCGTCCAAGTGAAAGAGTGTCTCACTTGAAGCAGCAAGGGATGGAATTAAGAGCAGCTCCAAGCTTCTGGCTGCCCGAATCGTAGGCAGGGAAATAATGCATTCAAGGACCTACCAGAAAGTTGTACCAGAGAATTCCCACCTTCTGAGGCCTTCTGCCTATCAATCTGAAAGCCGGCAGAGAGAGGAAAGACAGCAGTGACACAGTGGGGCGAGGTGTAGAGAGAACTGACCCCGTGCAACTTGGCTGGAAAGAATCAGATTCCCATATGATAGAAAATTCCCATCCTTGCTCTAGAAGCTGTCTCTTAACCCACCAGAGAGATACTAACCTTAGAAAAGTCTGCCTGCCCCTTTCCCCTTTAGCTCTAGAGCAGGGTTTCTCAACCTGGGCAACTTTAAGATGGGTGGAATTCAACTCCCAGAATTCCACCCATCTTAAAGTT